TTTAGCCATTGACTTTAAACTTTCTCCCTTCTCTCTGATCTTCAAGTAACACGGCACCAAAGGGAGATACTTACTTTACCATAAAAGGTCCCGACCATCTAGACTTGAGTTTTCCAGAGAACAACTTCAATCTAGAGTAGAATAGTAGAACTAGCTGCCCTGGTTTGAATTCTCTCTGCAGGATGAATCTGTCATGTATTCTTTTAGTCCTTTCTTTATACAGTTTTGCATTTTCATATGCAAATTGTCTAAATTCCTCCAGTTCATGTAGCTGTAGCACTCTTTTTTCTCCAGCCTTGGTTGAATCAAAATTCCGCCATTTAGTAGCCCAATATGCTCTATGTTCAAGTTCCACAGGAAGATGACATGATTTCCCAAACACTAATTGATATGATGACATACCAATTGGTGTTTTGAATGCAGTTTTGTATGCCCATAATGTATCATCAAGCTTCCTTGACCAATCTTTTCTTGAGTTACTGACTAGTTTTTCTAAGATCTTCTTGATTTTTCTATTTGAAATTTCCACTTGTCCACTTGTTTGAGGATGATAAGGAGTTGCTACTCTGTGTTTTACTCCATACTTATCCAGAACATTATCAAGGTATTTATTGCAGAAGTGTGATCCTCCATCACTAATCAGAATTCTTGGCACTCCAAATCTTGAAAAAATGTTTTTCTTTATGAAGGAAATCACCACTTTGGCTTTATTTGTTTTGGTTGGTATAGCTTCCACCCATTTAGACACATAATCCACTGCCACAAGTATGTATTCATGAGAAAAAGAAGTTGGAAATGGTCCCATAAAGTCTATTCCCCATACATCAAATAGTTCCACCTCCAAGATATTGTTCAAAGGCATCTCATGTCTTCTGGAAATGTTACCAACTCTTTGGCATTTATCACAGTTTTCTACATAAATTTTTGCATCTCTGAACAATGTAGGCCAAAAAAATCCAGCTTGTAATACTTTGGCAGCTGTTCTTGATCCACCATGATGGCCTCCATAATCTGAATTGTGGCAATGCCATAGGATATCAGTTTGTTCTTTCTATGGAATACATTTTCTCAAAATGCCATCTACTCCAATTTTGAATAGATGAGGATCTTCCCAAATATAGAACTTGCTGTCATGAAGAAATTTCTTTCTTTGCTGCCAATTCATTCTCTTTGGAATATGCTGAGTGGCCTTAAAATTCGCTATATCAGCAAACCAAGGTAATTCATCCACAGTTAGCAGTTTTTTATCAGGAAATTCTTCATTAATATCCAAGTAATCTGATGGCAATGTGTCCAATGGAATTCTGGATAGATGGTCTGCAACACCATTCTCTTTTCCTTTCTTATCTCAAATTTCTAACTCAAATTCTTGAAGTAGTAGAATCCATCTCAGCAGCCTTGGTTTAGCATCCTGCTTAGAAAGCAAATATTTCAGAGCAGCATGGTCAGTATATACCACAACCTTGGACCCTACTAAATAAGACCTGAACTTATCAAAAGCAAATACTATATAGCAAGCAACTCTTTTTCAGTGGTTGTGTAATTAATCTGTGCAGAGTTTAGGGCTCTACTAGCATAGTAAATCACATGTAGTCTTTTATCTTTTCTTTGTCCTAATACAGTACCCACTACATTGTCACTTGCATCACACATTAGCTCAAATGGTACAGTCCAGTCAGGTTTAAAAAGAATTGGAGCATAAATCAGTTTTTCTTTTAAAACAGTAAAAGCATGCATACAAGATTCATCAAATACAAATGTTGCATCCTTTACAAGAAAGTCACTAAGAGGTTTGGCGATTTTAGAAAAATATTTAATGAACCTCCTATAAAACCCAGCATGGCCTAAGAAACTTCTAATTCCTTTCACATTCACAGGTGGAGGTAATTTACTAATCACTTCTATTTTAGCTTGATCAACCTCCATCCCTCTAATTGAAATCTTATGGCCAAGCACTATTCCTTTTTGCACCATAAATTGATATTTCTCCCAATTCAACACCAAGTTGGTGTCTTGACATCTCTGCAAAACAATGGAAAAATTAGATAACAATCATCAAATGAATTCTCAAAAACAGAAAAATTGTCCATGAATACCTCAATTATTTTCTCAACCATGTAAAAAAAAAAAAGCTAACATGCACCTTTGAAATGTAGCTAGAGCATTACACAGCTCAAAAGGCATTCTTCTATATGCAAATATTCCAAAGGGACAAGTAAAAGCAATTTTTTCTTGATCAATTGGATCTACAGCAATTTGGTTAGAGCCAGAATATCCATCTAAAAAGCAGTAAAATGCATGTCTAGCTAACCTTTCTAGCATTTGGTCTGCAAAAGGTAGAGGAAAATGATCTTTTCTGGTTGCATCATTCAGCTTTCTATAATCTATACACATCCTCCATCCTGTGACAGTCCTTGTCGGTATCAACTCATTCTTTTCATTTGGTACTACAGTCATTCCACCTTTTTTAGGTACCACTTGCACAGAACTTACCCAATTGCTGTATGAAATAGGATATATGATCCCTGCATCTAATAGTTTAATGACTTCCTTCCTTACCACTTCCTTCATGGCAGGGTTTAATCTTCTTTGAGGCTGCACAAATGGTTTAAAATTTTCTTCAAATAAAATTCTGTGTTTACAAAAGGCTGGATTTATACCTTTTAAATCTGAGATGTTCCACCCTATTTCTGATTTATGGGTTCTCAAAATTCTCAGCAACTTCTTCTCCTCTTCTTCCTTGAGTTCATTGCTTATGATAACTGGATTTTCATGTTTATGATCCAAGAATGCATATCTCAAGTGAGATGGAAGTTGCTTTAATTCCAGCTTTTGACTTTTCTCTTCTTCTCCTTCATTTTTCAACTCCTCTTTGATCAATTTTTCTGTAGGTATTAAAATAGGTAGAGTTTCCAATTGCTGCTCCATTTCAAATATGTTTTCATATTCAAAATGCAGAAGTTTAGTATTTCCTACAGCTATGGTTTCTCTCAACACAGAAATTTCATCAAATCTATTCAAAGAATAAAGAGTGATCATAGAATCCAATGTATCTACTCTCATACATGTGTTATCATCAATTAGATATTTCAAAGCTTCAAATACATTAAATATTACCTTTTCCTCTTGAACTCTAAGCATTAACTCTCCGTTTTGCACATCAATAAGAGCTTGTCCAGTTGCAAGGAAAGGTCTGCCCAAGATTAATGGTATGTTTGCATCTACCTCCATGTCCAATATGACAAAATCTGCAGGAAAAATAAATTTGTCAACCTTAACCAACAAATCCTCTACTACTCCATATGAATAAGTATATGATCTATCAGCTAATTGCAATGTAATGTTGGTTAGTTTCACTTCTTCTATCCCCAATTTCTTCATAATGGCTAATGGCATCAAATTAATACTTGCCCCCAAGTCACACAATGCTTTTCTCACAGTACAATTTCCTATTTCACAAGGTATGCTAAAGGATCCTGGGTCTTTTAATTTTTGAGGAAGTTTTCTTCTAAGAATAGCACTGCACTCCTCTTTCAAGGGTACAGTCTTATCATGTTCTAACTTCCTTTTCTTGGAGAGTAGTTCCTTCATGAATTTGGCATAAGATGACATTTGCTCCAAAGCTTCAGCAAATGGGATGTTAATTTGCAGCTTTTTGAACACGTTTAGAAACCTCTCAAACTGCTCCTCTTGCTTAGGATTTTGCACTCTTTGAGGATAAGGTAGTCTCTTATATTTTTCTGGATCAATTGACTTGTAAGTGTCCTCAAATAATTGCTTCTTTGTCTTTCTTTCAGGACTTTTATGAATTTCTTCATTCTTTTCTGAATGTTCTCTCTTTAGTAGCTTGAAGTTTCCTTGCTGTAATTCTTCTTTTAAATCTCTTTCCTCTACTGCTTTTTCTACTTGCTTTTCTGCTGCAACATTATTCAGTTTCTTTTCAGCTGGTTTTGGACTGGCTACAACAGCTCCACTTCTTGTAACTATAGCTTGACATTGTTCCTTTGGATTCACCACTGTGTTGTTTGGAAATCTTCCTTCATCTTTGCTTGTTAATTGTTCAGCCAGTTGTCCAATTTAAGTTTCTAACTTCTTCAAGAAGCTTCTTGATTCTTGATGCTGGATTGAGTGACTTTCATGAATTGTAACATTGTTTCCTCAATTTCGTTCATTCTTTCACTCATTGGTCTAGCTGAATGTTGACTCCTTTGAGGTTGAGTAGAAGAATTTCCTTGAAAGTACTGTTGTTGTTGGTGATTTCCTGCATTTGAAAATGGAAGAGATGTATTAGTGCTTTTCGTTGCAGAATTCTGAGGATTCCATTTATAAAATTGTTGATTCCTATTATTAGAATACTGAAATCCAGGAGAAAATGATTGTTGAGGATAAGATTATTGCTGTCTTTGATAATTACTCATATAATTGACTTGCTCTTGTGGTTCAGGTGTAGGTACATCACATGCACCATTAGCATGATTCCCTCCACAAAAATTGCATGTCAACTGACTTGTTACCATATTTTCAATCTGCAAATTATTAATCTGTTGAGTCAAAGCTGCTATTTGATCAGAAAATAATTGGTTCTGCAGTTGATTCTGTGCAAGAAAAGTTTCCATCATCTTTGCTTCATATTCATTGCCTCTTCTTGTATTCCTCAAGTTGGAATTCTGATACATGGATGAAGTCATCATCTCAATGATTCTTTGGGCTTCTTCCAAGGATTTCATGCTCAAAGATCCTCCTACAGCTGCATCAATCATAGTTCTAGTTACTACATTCATTCCATTATAAAAAGTTTCCAGCTGCATCCATTCTAGAATACAATAATGTGGACATCTTCTCAGTAACTCTTTATATCTTTCCCATGCTTCATAAAGTGATTCTCCTTTCTGCTGCACAAAAGATGTTATTTCTCCTCTCAACTTAGCAGCTTTTGAGGGAGGAAAATATTTTGTTAGAAATTTATTCATAAGTTCAGTCCATATGGTGATACTTCCCTGAGGCTGTGCTTGTGGACATCTTCTCAGTAACTCTTTATATCTTTCCCATGCTTCATAAAGTGATTCTCCTTTCTGCTGCACAAAAGATGTTATTTCTCCTCTCAGCTTAGCAGCTTTTGAGGGAGGAAAATATTTTGTTAGAAATTTATTCATAAGTTCAGTCCATGTGGTGATACTTCCCTGGGGCTGTGCTTGTAACCAACATTTGGCTTTGTCTCTTAAAGAAAATGGAAATAGCCTCAGTCTCATAGCATCTTCACTTACTCCATTCATCCTTATAGTATCACACAACTGCAGAAAATTAGAAATATGCAGATTAGGATCATCAGAAATTCCACCAGAAAATTGGTCCTGCTGCACTAGGTGAAGTAAGGCTGTTTTATCTCAAAATGATTGGCTTGAATGGTTGGTCTAACAATTGAAGAATTATAGCCTTGCATATCTGGAATTGCATAATCTCCTAGTGTTCTCATTCTATGTTGTTCTGCCATTTCAACTTTTGGAGTTGGTTGTCTAAAAGGTGAATGTTTCCTATTTGCAAAAAGAGTGACTTGAAATTCTGGAGAATGTATAACCTCTAGATCACTGTCACTTGCTAAAGATCTCTCTTCTCTAGTCTCTTTTCTTAATCTCCTAAGAGTTCTATCAATGTCGGGATCAAAGACAAGAGTAGATTTATTTTTGTTTTTGCCACGCATATACAACTAAACACAGATATAGTATAATGAAAATAGAAAATTGCACATGTAATGTAATATTTGCAAAAAATTTAAAGAAACAAATGCTCAATCTAGTTATTTTCCTGTTACTAATGATATTGAAACAAATTATTCCCCGACAACGGCGCCAAAAACTTATTACTTTTACAATTGCTGTTGCACTGTAAGTAAACTGACTAGCAAGTGTACTAGTGTTGTTGTAGCAAGTTATAAAAAATCTTAGAATCAAATTGAGTTCCAAGTATCGTCCTCAGGGAATAAAGTTCTCAATTACCACTTCACAAGATCACAATTAGTTGAGCTTTACAAATTTCAGATGGATTTGGTATGAATGTATCAAAAACAAAATTAGAAAGTAAAACATAACAGTTAGCATAAAGGTATATAGTAAACAGATGTAGAAAGAGTAGCTAGGAAATTGTTTCACCAAAACTTCAACATTGAATCAATAATGTTCTGAACTTTCAAGCATTTAGATGGAATGACAATCAGTTTCACGTTATATTAATCAAAGGACAATCCCTTGCCTCAATGAATCTAGCATCTAATCAAATCACTCTAATCCCTTAGATCTAATCCAACCAAATGCTGCATTAAGTTTGAGAAACCAAAAGATTGCCAGATTAAGATATCTTATCCCTAAGAAACCAATAACCTTGGCAATTAATTCAGATTTGAGAAACAAATTCAATTCCCATTGATAAGAGTTCCTCTATGATTAGTTGATCAAATTTCCATTCAATCACTACTTTAACAGCAGAATCAATCACTCAATCCAATCCAAAACTCAAAGTTCAGATCCAAAATCAATTCAACATTTCTATTTCAGATTCACAGTTCCTAACCACAAGAGTTTAAGCAAACATTACAAAAGGAGAAGAGAAAAGAATGAACAAAGAAGAAACATCTTCAAGTCAATCTCCAATCTGATCCCTCAAGAAATGAAGCTTGGTGTTCGTCCCCAATCTCCCTCTCTGTCTCTCACAACAACAAAAACAAAACGAAGAATGAAAAATGAACCAAAAATTTCTTTTTTTTTTAAATTCCTGAGCTAACTGTCTTTTATAGAATTCCCGCTCTGCTGGCGTGATCACTTTTGCTGGTGATAGTAGCCACGCGCACTTTAAAGTGTTCACTTTTGTTGAAAATAGTAGCCACGTAGAAGCTTCCCTTACTAATGTCATGCGCGTGTTCACTTCTGCTAGAAATAATGAACACGCAAAGACTACCTTCTTGCGCGTGTTCACTTTTGTGGATAATAGTGAACACGCGCAACAACTCTTCTTGGAGGACTCTGTGACACCCTTACTACTTATTACGCCATCAATATAAATATAATATTAATATAATCCAAGCAGTAAGAAAGCCACATGTATGAGTTTACGTCTATTCACATTAATAGAAACTAAATACATCATCTGCACCAATTATCCAAATACATATATACATATCATCTGTCAAAATATACAGTCGTCCAGTCATATAAACATATACACATAGCTGATTTACATACAAAATAAAGTGGGGTCACGATATCAGAGACAACAACAACAAAAATGACCTCACAAGCTTTTCCCCTAGACCCATGATTATCAAAAATACCATTTCCTCCAAAAGTTAACAGTACTCTAGGAGTAAATGGAAAAGTGAGTCTCATGGGTACCCTGATGGGGATGGGGTATGCCCGTGGGCCTGGCCCATTTCTATCTAACAAAAAGGTAATAGTGCTAGTATGGGTGAACTGTTGTCATTCCCAATTGTGCGCCCATCTTCCTTTAGGATCATATCTGACTGTGACGCTGAACTGGTATGGTGGTCAGGCCATTTGTGTCCTCACCTACTAAACATATTCACATACAACACACATAGCAACTAAAAGGGTGAGACAAACCCATTTCAACCAAAGTACAGTAGAAAACACGTCAAGATATTTACAATCATTATAGCAATTAGCAACAACTCAACACACAATGTACATGCCATGTATGATTCTGTGCATCACCTAGTTAATTGCTATACTGACACATGCATGTGGGTCCAAACCATTTTCTTTTTCTTTTTTCTCTTTCTTTCTTTCTGGGAAGGATCAGGAGTTCACTGTCACCAATCATTCTTGGTTATAACCATCTCATTAGATAGTTTCAAAGATATAGCTCAACTGATTCTGATAATCCATCGGGTTCTGTCAGGATAGTCCAGTTTTACAGTGAGAACCGACAGCACAGGGTTGCGAGCCCTAGCCTTTGCCCGGCTCAATCACACCCAACTATCCCCAAGACTAACCTGGAGTCTCCCCTAGATTTCGTATACTTCCCATCCAACACCATCATCATTACATGCTTATGATGCATGAACCTAATTTCAGTCTTTTAATTAGGTATTAAACATTTCTTTTTAATCAACAACATATATTTCAAAATTTTACCGACAATCCGGTAAAGTTTCCTCTATAATTCAGATATTTCTAAATTTTCTTCTCTCTGCAAAACAGCTAGAAAATTCCAATACACTTCGAATTTTAAACAGAGTCTCACTACCATCACATTTCACAACTTTTCTTTCATTTCAATGGCTCTCAAATACCTTTTTCCAATTATCACCACATTTCAAAATACCCATTTAAAATAATTCTTTAAAATGAATTAAAATCCTTTAAATTATTTAAATATGTATATAGGTATATTTTAAATATATAAAAACTATTAAATAAATTTTGATCAAACCACTTGAAATTAAAGAAGATTTTTTTTTAATATCTTTATTTTTCAATTCTCCAATTCTTTTCAACTTTCAACAAACCTTCTATATGCTCACTCCACATGAATGATAGTTCATTCCTCAAGTATTTTAGGTAACCAATTATTTATACTGAATTCAACAAACAATTATCATAGAAACATTATCACACATAAAATCAATTTCAAAAAGGAATATCAAACAATTGTACACTAAGTATGGAAATAATTATAAATTCCTTCAAATAATTCATATATACATAGCAAAGAATAAAACACTCATTTCTCAACGTTTTTCTACTATACCCGTGAAAATAGATATGTCCCCCCTTACCTTGAAGTGTATACCGATTTTTTTCTCACCAACGACTTCTTTCCACCACTTCTCAAACCACGATCCTAACCAAATAATCACACATAATCATGATCAATGTTAAGAGGCATTAATCACCCAACCCACTACTAGTGAGTTGAAACTATCATTTTCTAATCTTCGCAAAAATGGCTTACGGGTCTTACAATTATTTTCTATGATGTAAATGGAATACTATAAGCCTAAAGGTGATTAAAAATAATTATTTTCCCTTCATAACACTCTTGGGACAGCACCTCTAGACCAAGGGTTTTTAAACCCCTAAATATATTTTAACAAAACAAAAAGCACCAAAATTATTTATTATAAAATATAGAAAGATTAAGCTAATTAAAACATAATTTAGAAACAAAATTTTTGGACACCCTCATGCCACTGTTCCAGCACCCAAAAAGAGGAAGAAAATAAAAAAATTAATCGGTTAAAAGTGTTCAAAATGATGAAAATAGATGGAATATTAAAAAAGTTTAATGAACTTACTTGGAAAATCAAAAGATTAGAGCCAAAGAAGTTTCAAAGCTTTTGGAAGGAGAAGAAGAGCACTTACGGCAGCCAAGAGTGAATTTGATGAATTGATGAATTGATCTTATCTTAAATAGTAAAAATAATAATATAATATTAGAATTTTCACTAATTTTTTAATAATTAATTGAAATAATTAGATAAAAATCCCAAAATTTAAAAATAATCATGAAATATATTAAACATAATTATAAAATAATTTTTGACACTATTGATCCTTTAGTTGGTGTCCAAAATTTTTACACGCAATTTCTGCTTGAGCATATAACTAATTTACATAAAATTAACCAGAAAATCCAAAAATGCTCATTAATTACACAAAAAATTATTTTTATATTCCAAATAATATTTATAAATAAAATATAAATTTTTATAATTTTTATTATTATTATTGTTATTTTTTTAAAATAAAATGTTATTTTTAGCATTATACAACAATTTTAACCAATACAAATTGACACTTTTTGAAACTTAAAAATTTAAAAATTAAAAATTACCAAATATTTCTTAAAAATATACCTAACAATTTTGTCTAAAGCATCTCATGCTAATTCTATCCCAATTTTTCCCAAAAAATTAAGTACTATATATTAACTTAGAATTATATTAATAAATTAATCGTTTAGCAAAAACGAGGATGTTACAGACTCTCTGGAACGCTCACTTTTTTCAGAAAAAGTGATTACGCAAAAACTCTTCTTCATTTTATGGTTCTGGAGTGATCACTTTCACCAGGTGAAAGTGATCACTCAGAGGCTG